AGACGGACATGATTAAATTGATTTAGAATTTGATGCTGATCAAGAATACATATACTTTGTGGGGTCTCTGATGTTTCCTTCTCGGCGTTGCAAGCGTTTTGACGGAATGAATATACTCCCCCCATCATGCTTCGGTGATGGGTATAAAAATGATTGCATTTTTAATCTACAACACTAACTTATAGAGAAGCTACTATGATTGTTCGTAAGCGACAGCTCGTACTTATTATATTTTTATGTATAGCTAACATTGCACACGATTAGTGTATTGACGTACTTCAACCGCGGCATACAAGCTGTAGAGCAACATTAACTTGTAGTGAATTGTAAATATTTGCCAACTTTCAATGTTCCCAAAAGCCGATTAGCAAGGAATTTGTACCCATTTCCATGCAAAATGTCTTTGCCTTCAAAGGTTTTCAGTCAGTTTGCTATTTTCGTTATCTCTTAATTTTCAAAGCTGATTTGAACGAATCAACTACTAATGCCTGGGCGTGACTTTAATAATTTTCATCACTGCTTGGTCTCCGTTTGAAATATTGGCAAAAGGTAGCTAACCGATAGGCCACAAAAAGCTTACATCTTTCAGCATAACATATATTTATTCTATCCTCGTTAATGTTTCCATAGACGATGTCCGAGCATGGATTTACAAAGAAATAGTTTTAATTTCCTTTTTTACCAATGAAAAGTGAAAAGATATCTAACAAGTTTCAGTTTAATATTCTTTAGAAGCAAGTTGAAAAGTAATCAGCCCAATTTTGATATTTTGATTTGACGGTCAACAAGAAATAAGGAAAGCGACAACCATCAATTTTCTGAATTTTTGTGAACATATGAGCTATCTAACGAACCACCAAGGGAGGGGCGCATTGACGGAGGGAGATAATTAAATTGACTTGGAATCTATAGTCATTTTACATTTATATAAAGGGCCTATATATGCGTAGCCCCTATGTAAAGGCTTTTTCTAGGCGTTACAAACACAATGACAAACTACTATACCTTATTATTATTCATTGAATCCTTTTAAAAAAAGAATTCCTTTTGAAAAGCGGCTAATGCGACTGACATCCTTTAAAATATTTTAAACAAAAGTTTTTCGAATGCATCTCTGGGAAAGAAACATTCATTAATTTTGTCTTTGCATTTGTTATACTCAGAATTTTATTCTTTTTTTTCTTTTTGCACGCTCAAGTCTATATTGCTAGTTGAGCGGTAATAAAGACCAGAAACATTTTCGATCGATCATAGACTTTTGCTAAAAATAACTTAAAATTCTTTTTATCGCTTGCAGATTCCTAGACGGAGAACATGAAAATTTATTTTGCTTACAAGCTTCTTGAATTTATTCCTGAACACATTTACAAATAAAGTGACATCGAAATTGCCATTTCCTCGAGTTGTTGATGGCAAACTTAGAAGAATGGCACAGAAAAAGCTTTAGTGTAAAATACCCTGTCTTCAGTTGGTTGCTTATTGGTTTCTCAATTTGCTATAATTACTCAGCTACAGATAGCTGCTCTTAAAGTCGGCAAAATTCAATTCAATTTTTAAAGAGATTATGGCGAATAAATATATTGTTTAGAAATTGTCAGATTTAAACATATTAACCGATTTACATTTTTAGAAATGCATTCTTAATTGTTCTGCGAAAAACTTCAAAAGAGAATTGCGTGATTTTGCAAAAATTTGATGAAAGTTTATATATTCATCGGTCAACCTATCCAGATGTATGTTTATATCCAGTAAATTTTAAAAGTATATTACACCTCCCTGTGTTCAAAGTGGATGGCAGGTATCAAAGATTCGGTGCAAACTCATTATAACTGGTCGGTTGCTTTCTTCTAATATTTCGCCTGAAACTTTAACAATATGAACGATTGTCCTAGATGTTAAAATTTTCAAATTAAGAACAAACAATGAATAAAAATGATTTGTATTCGCTTTTGCGAAGACAAAGTGCAAAATAGAAAAAAAAATATGCATTACTTTTCGCTTTCATATATATATATGAAAAGATTATCGAATGCACTCGTCGTCTGATATTTAACTTGTGAAATTGCTATTAATTAAAGTGCGGAGGGAGGGTGGCAAGGAGGGATAAAAGATAGATGTTACAAGGTAAGGGAATGAACTGTATTAGCATCAACGAAATCTTTAGCATCCTTTCTAAATAATAATTACCTGTTACCGTCCGTCTTTTACATAATCATGGAAACGCTTTTTTTTCATCATATTATGACTGGTAGCACGGTACTGATATTTTGAAAATCGCGGCTTAGAACATTTATTACTGATATTGTAACTATGAAGTTTTCCTTATCTTTATCTCGAATAGTGTTATGAAAATTACAAAAGATTCGTGCTGCTGTCTGCTTTCTCTTAATACCGGGAATGGTCTCGATGGTGGAAGAAGCATAAACTGTTATTAATTCAAATACAGTAGCCGAGAAAAAGAAGCAGTAACCGAATAAGCTAACAAATGAATGCGAGCATTGATGCTGCTAAGTTCAATAGAATAAGCAAGCAGTGTTCATAAGCGGTAGTGTGTTAGCAATGCTTATAATAAATTTTTAAAAACTTGCAAAAGCCAGTGTATGCATGATTCATTGTCAATGAAAAATGGAAGAACTCGTTGTAAGGAATGCATAACGTATCCATCAGAAATGTGATGAATTTAAGTTAGCGTGGATGTGTTTTCAGTACAATCTACAATAGGCTGCAATCCTTTTGAACGATATTTCTAACTTATCGCAAAAGAGTGTGTAAAGTCTTATTACGAAAGTTGTCGCTGCATTTTCTTATTCGATTACCGTGACTTCTATTCTATAACTAACAAACAGTTTCCTACATGTGCTGCAAGTTAAGTTGCCATTTAAAAGGGATTCATCTAAACTAGGTTATGTGTAAAGTCATTGAGGTTTAAGCGTTGGAAGACTTAAAATTTGGCTCATGACTCAGCTGTTAAAAAGTTTTAAATTGATGGTTTCTTGTTCGTCTATTGAATAGTAAACAATGGACATAAAATAAAAGCTTTTACGTAAATAACGATTTTACGAAAATATCCGAAAACGCTAAAAATCACTTGAAATAAATGCCGTATTAAACAGTATCAGTTCATTGACTTCAATCGAAATGATAGACTAAGCTTTGAGTATCGCTTCTTACTCCAAGACAGTTGTTCCATCGTTTACTAAATTATGACGTATAGCAAAGATTGCGGACAGTTTGATAGCATTCTGAATGCACTTCAAAACTCTGTACATAAGTTTAGAAGCAAGGTTTAGCACAGCGAAATAAATTGATTCCAAGTTTCAAAGCCAACCAAATGAATCTTTCTGGGATAAAATCATCGCACGATGCGAGAAATGGAATTTAGTTCGGCTGAGGCAATTTTGTGAATCCCGCTCGTATAACGCTTCTTACGAACCAAAACCGAATCTTTATGTAGTAGAAGAGTATAATTATTAATGTTTGATGGTGGAAATTAGTTCATAAATCAATTTTACCAAGTTTGGACCACATCTATTGGATACCACCGCATATAAGGCTTTCAGGAAAAGTATGCCTTTGCATGAAAATAATGTGTAACGGCATCTAATAATCGACCTTACCCGCCTATAACGTCCTTACTCATCCTTCGGTGATAGATATATTCGTTTTGTCAAAACGTTTGCAACGCCCTGAAGTAAGCATCGTAGACCCCATAAAGTATATATATTCTTGATCAGCATCAAATTCTAAATCAATTTAATCATGTCCGCCTATGTAATGTCTGTTGTAAACATTCTCCTGTTCGCAAAAATTATCCCATCGGCTTCAAATTTGGCAGAAACATTTGGAAGTTCTTGCGCGCCTGTTGTTATTTAAAATGGGCTAAATCGGCCGAAGGGTACACTCCGAGCACCTTGTAAACTGAAAAGACCTCTCTGTTTCTCAAAGAGAACGAAAAATTGATTTTTTGGTTATTACTCATCGTAAACTATAGCAAATAAATATACAAAACTTTGAACACATATTCATGGGCGATGCTATAGCACAAAAATGAAAAAAATTGACCACTTCTGCCCAATATTATGGTGTATCAAAATTTAGTTGTTTTTCAATACCTTCTTAAAGCGCACAAACAAGCTTCAAGAACCGCATAAAGTATACAAATTCTTGGCAAGTTGCTACTCTTGAATGCACCTAAGCTTGTCCGTTTGCCTAACTTAGTAGTATTTGTGGTGAACATTCCCACGTCAGCGAAAATGACGATATCGCCTAAAAATTTGCAAAAGAATTCGGAATTAATCTAAACATTTCAAAAGACACGCCTACAACGCCTACTTAACTCTACGACCAAAACTTTTATTTTGAAAATAGAAGAAATCAATTGCGGCCGCTGCATATTATTGAGCATAAGAATTTTATTCTAGTGGGGTAAACGGTGATGGGGTATAAAAGGTTCGGTCCCGACTGAATTTAATTTTTTTATTTTTTTTTGTTTACTCTTGGCATGATTAATTTTATCTCAAAAACAAAAGCTTGGCATAGTTTTCATAGCTGTAAAGAATTGAAGTCCGAATTTTATGTATGGGGCCAAGATGAAAGGCAACTGAACCTAAAAGCCCAATCACGGGCTTTCATTAGAGCAAAATTCTAAATAAAGTCTATCTGTAAGTTTATGTCTAAGAAAGCCAGATGAAAACTTTAATCTTGATATAAATTCTTATGTTTAATTACCGTGCAACAGAATCGAAAGCGGATGTCCAACCGCCCACAATTATGCTTATTGAAAATAACCGGAAATGAAGAAGAAGAAGAAGAAGAAGGAAAAAATTCCCTATCTCTAGGGAATTTTCGCTAATGTAAAAATGTTCGAGGCCCTTATTACTTTTGTTGTGTGTGTGTTTGTGTTTTTTTTTTTTTTAAATTTTTTTCTCAATTTATTGCAATTAATTTTTAATTCAAGGCAACCCTGCTTAGGTATGCATTCGTATGTCGTTACGTATACATACATTTGTATACAAACACTCGAGATGAGACGACATTTATTGTTTATTTATACATTTTGTTGTTGCACTCTTTGTTCTCCCCATATAGTGTCAGGCATTGTACCAACTAAAATGCATATTCTCGTACGAAATGTGTTCCTCTACATGCGTATATATATGTGTATGTGTATTTATGTTCTATAAATTGTGAAATGTTATTCATTTCGTTCGCTACTGCGCCGCCAAATGCTTCTCATATATAGAAAAGACGTAGAAAATTGGATAAAATATTGCTGGCGATTCCAAGCTGAACGCCTGTTCAATCTTATGAGAAAGATTTAGTTTTTATATCATAGCTTTTTTATCTTTGCTTGTTTGTTGTTTGTTTTATTCAGGAACAACAGCAACAACAGTAACAATAACAACAGCAACAACAATAATAAATTGCTATAGCTACGGCTAACCGTCAACATTTTATAAAGAAATAACAAATAATTAAGATTCATAGGAAGTGTGCCATAAAATTAATATTTTAATCAATTCTTTGTTGAAAAATGCAAAAAGAAAAACATAAAAAAAAAACGAAATAGATTTCATTGCCTTTAAATGCGATGTACATACAATAAATAAATACAATGTAGAGTGTAATGAGCGATCCCTTAGCAAGCACTCATTCTTTAATTAGTTTGTATTTGTCTTTAAACATTTCTTTTCCCGATTTCGTATATATTTCGATTGACCGATAATTTCTGATTGTAGTTGTTCTTGACGCTTTCCGCCAAATTGTCGTAATACCTTGTGTAGAGTGTTGTAGAACAAAAATTTTAAAAATAACTTTGTAAAACTTGTGAACGAATAAAGACTCGAGCATGCGCGCTCCAACTTTTATCTAACAAATCACTCTCTAGCACTCTACACAATATATCATTAGCTCTTAATGGCTTTTGTGCGGGTGAGAGGACGACGGCGACGACGACGACGACGACGAGGCGGCCGGGGGCATCGAGCATTGATATCCAAAGTGTTTTAATTGTGCAAAATACGTTTCGTTCGTGTGTATAAAAATTTATCAAGCAAGTCTACTGACTGCTGAACGATTTGATTTAAAAAAAAAAAACAAAAAAAAAAACAAAAAAAAATCAAACAAGCAAATACACGTTCACGTGTATGCTTATGTATAGGTGCGTATCTGTGTACAGATATATTTGTCAAGTTGCTCATTAATTTGTATTGTTCCGCTGAGAGATATACGGACATGTTTACTAATTTTCGAATATATTTACCATTAATTATATTGTTTTGGTCTGCGTTTAACTATGTAAACGCATTTACGTATGTATATATGTATGCTGTAAATAAACGACAATGATTTGTGTTAGTTATAGATATTAGCAGTTGTTGATAGTTAATTAATGATTTCGTCTAAGATGGAAGCGAAGCGCGGAGATTGCATTCGTTCGTTTCTCTCGAAAACAGAAAACGAAAACATCTGTAAAAGCTTTAATCGCTTCAAAGAAATTCTTAAGCGATTATTTCTATCATATTTTTATATCCACTGTACTGTAAGATGAGAGTATACTCATGTTTTTTTTTTTTCCCATAATATATGTAACACCCAAAAGGAAGATTTATAGGCCATATATATATATATATATATATATATTCTTGATCAGTGTGAAATTCTGAATTGATTTAGTCACGTGTGCCCGTCTGGGTGGCATGTGTTGTTGCCACTTTTCTTGTCGCAGAACTGAAGATAACGATTTCTAACTTGGTAAATATATTGGATGTTTTCGAGCGGAGGTTGGTATTGAAAATGGGCCGAATTGATCAGAGAAGAAATCCGCAGTGGAGCGTAAACTGAACGCAATTTCGTTTTTCATAAGAAAAATCGATGGATTTTTGCTCGTTACTCGGAAACCATTAAAGTTAGAGGGCTGAAATTTTCCACATTTACTTTACGAGGCACTCTTTATGTGCAAAAACGGAAAAAAGCCCACACAAAGCTACAAGGGATTCAGTTCTCTTTTTTCACTTTCTTAAGGTTTTTTGCTTATTTATCATAAGGCAAACTAGACAAAATATTTAAAACTGTTTTTGTACACTGATCAAAGGAATATATGTTATCCGCTTAAAAATGGGTTCATTATAAAATGAATATGGCAGGCACCGCGATCTGGTGGATGTTTACTTAACAATACCACTGATATGGGTATCAAATAAAAGAACTTGGAGAGTAGAAGGGGAAAAGCATTGTGGCGGTTATGCAAGATTCGGCCCCCGCCGAATATAACTTTTATACTTGTTTCCTGTTAATTGGGGACTCGACATTAAGGCAATTCCGAGCCCCTTTCCTCTCTTCCGCTTAAAGGTTTTTATTATTATTCTTAAGTTTTTATTTATCTTATCTTAGTATCCGATAAAACCTTATACGTGGCAAGAGACGATTTATTTTGTTATAATATTGGACTTTGCAAATTCTCTCAACATATGTGACGACATTATTTAGTTACTTGTGAAGTAAGTGGAAATCCTATGAGAAACCTGGGAATATATTCCATGTTGAAGTAGTCGAACTCGAAGCAATTAAGGCCTATTTACAATATCTACCATAGTTGCAATAATAAAGTACAACAATACCAAATATTCTTAAACAATCTAAAGGAGGAAGGTAAAGAGAGCAAAGATGGCAAAGAAAGAGGAACGAAGAAGGTAATTAGACTAGCATGAAAGGAAATAACACATACCACAACCACACGTCCATCCCAATACCATGTAACTAGCTAATCTCATTATTAGTGGCGAAGGTTAAAAGTCTACGTTTGTAAGCCAGATCAGAGCATCTAACTTGTCGCAAGCTCCTTCGGCTATTGCCGTAGGAAAACGTTGTAGAGGTTAAGAGTGTTAAAGAATCGTCCGTCTCAAGGAGAATATCATCACATAATAGTCTCAATTTCCTCAGGTTTGAATATTCGTAGAACGCAAATTATAAGTGAAATAATATATATAACGACGTTAGGGAATGACATTTTGTTGTGCAGCTAACAAGATATTCGCATAATTTTATAATTTCTCTTAAAAGTTCAGATAATAGTTTTGCTCAAATGAAAATACTTCCTCTTGAATATCGTACCTTCCACGGGTCATAACATAAGTCAAGATATTTTAATTTATCTTGAATTGTGCTGAAAACTTTGGACCAGATCTCCTCTCATATAACGAAAATTGTTGTTCATACGACAAAAAGCCATGATTTTCAATGCTTCACTATGAAAATTATATCATAATAGTAATGTAACATAAAACATTAACTGTGCCAAATTTGGACCATCTCCGCCTATTTTTTAGATTCTACCTTAATAAGAATTTTGGAGAAAATTGATGCTCTGTAGAGGAGAAAAGTAAGTTTTAATATTTGTAATATTTGTAATTTAATATGTGTTATAATTTTAATAATAGTAATTTCATACAAAAGCAAAAATTGTGCCATACACTAGGGTGTAGGGTATTTAATGGTCGGCCTTGTCTGATTATAATGTTCTTGCTTGTTTTTAATATGATTTGAGTTTAGGCCAAAAAATATATCGATGTACTACATATCCAAAAAACGGAGTGGTCAGACATTGAGAGGATACGCTTAATTCGAATGAAAAAAGTGAGTCTGAATCGAACGACATCGAAAGGAGACTCTATCGCAAGTCCTTCTGACTATAGCGTCTATCAGCTTAAATTTAATATACCTATAACATAAATGGTGTAGCGCACAATTGTGTTTTTTCCAGAAACAATATGCGACAAGTGTAATTATATTACGCGTGGTTGATGAAGTCAACTACTGTTCATGGAATACGTAATAAAATACGAAACTATTAGAGTTGTAAAGTAATTGACAAATTGGAGCGTTTTTTATTTGCGTATTAATCGAGCAATGTTTTTCAACAATTCCATAACGTACTGTACAGTGAATGTATTGCATTAAGGAACATGTATTTCGCCTGTAAATGACGTTATAGATGTGGACAACGTTTGCTTGCAGTAAGACGGTACCCGTGAAACAATTGCTTGCTCTCTTTTTGAAAGAACATGTACTCAAATGAAAAGGCGCATAAAAAAGTGTAGGCTGTATGTAACGTTCGCTATATTTTCTGCTAACGATAGGTCGGTCCGTCAGTAAAAGAATAAAAGCTACTGCTCTTGTACCCAATTTCCAAGTGCCTGTAAAATCAATCTTCACCAAAAGTCTTTATATCACTTTCCATTTCGCTTATACCGCTTCAAGGCGGTATAAACTTCATTGTTGACTTTAAGCTCTGTAAAATGATTATAGAAAGTCTTTCAAGGCGCCTCGCTGCAACGACAGATTGCTGAACCAAAAGCTCAGTAAAAAATTCTACCTCATCTGTTATGCTATGTGATTGTATCTGCTGTCTTAAGCTAACATTATTATCTAGATTCAACAATTCGTTCACTTGAAGCAATATGGGTAACAAAATGACATCAAAAAACCTATTAATTTTCTTTTTAAATCTAAATCATAAGTCAAGTACGTAAAAAATATCTAATTTTAAACGATGAGCATAACGCAGAACAAGGGAAAAAATTACTGATCTGTCATCATGTCAAAGCAAGAAATTTTTGCAATTTCACCAACTGGCTATACGTATTAGAGTATCGTAGTATAGGGTATAGTACACGTAAAAAAGCACATATAACTTACAGTATACACATTGCTTCTCCCTCGTTCTCCGGCCGCATCAGCGTCAAGATAATAACTGAATGCTTTCAAACTATGTGCTCTGCATATAAATTCCTCCAAAAACAAAATAAAAAAATAAAATAAAAAAAAAAATTAAAAATAAATAAATAAATAAATAAAAAACTAAAATACCCCTCTTAACGAGTAAAAGTACGAATGGAAAAAAATTGTGTAAAGGAGAGTCAAAAACCTCAAATGAACTGCAAGAAAATGAAATGAAATCAGTAAAATACCGACAACAATAACAAAGCCGGGTTAATTTGTAAAGCTCTCTGCCACTCTTTCCATATATAGCTCATTCTTTATCCCTCTCTGTAAGATACATATATTCGGACGTGTGTAACGGATTTTTTAGCAGTAGTAGGAAAAGAGCTAAGTAGAAAGAGAAAGAGCAAAAAATTTGGTATAAGTAGTAAGTGGGCACCACACCTTGCACCACATTTCCACCAGCAAATATCAGAAATAAACACTTGAGTGCTCTTCCTCTATTTGCTAGATATGAGTTGATTTGACTTTGACTATATAACAAAAAGTTATAACTGTATATACTTTTGCTTAAAACTGAAAGCCTGGTATCGATTGCGATAGACGCGCAACGCTTTCGATACCCGCGGTTTTCGACTGCTTGTAGTATTGCCGTTGAGTAGCCGCTTGCTACTCGTAAGGTGTAGTCGCAAGAACGCTCTTCAAATTTGTACTGGATGCACAGCTTCGCTAAGCAAAGCGTTAACGGATGACACATTAAAAAATTATTTTAGATTAAAATTAAAGTGTTCGTTAGCTCACTGGCTATAGAAACGAACACAATTAAAATTTAGATGCGATTGCCGGCCGCTGTATGCCGTTACCAATAATAATGTCGCACGAAGAGCGCAAGATGCCCGTTGTTATTGCCATACATACGGTGTGTACACGAAATTGCTATAAACAATTTTGGTTTTAGTCCAACACGCAACGTTTTGCGTTATGGACATCGTGTGTAAAACACGCGTCTGCCACAAAAACCATATAAATTGTTAAAATAGATTTTTCAAATATTTCACTTGGAGAGTTAGGTATGACCACTGATATATACAAATTCTCCGCTCTCTTCGTTATCTCTCTTCGTGTCCGTTGCTCTCTCCCTATAACCGTTTCATTCGCTCTCTCTTCCTCTTTTTCTCATGTTTTGATATCAAAAAAAAAAAAAAAAAAACGAAAAAACGTATAAATTATAATGATTTTGTTGTTGTGTCAGGGTAAACACTTTGAGTTTTAAAATCCGCACTTAACAACACAAATTAGCAGCAAACAGCAGCAACAACAATAGATCTCCTAAAAAAAGAGCCACCATATCATAATAACGCTCTAGTTAAGCAATAAATTCAAATCAAACAACTGTACGGTCACCGAAAGCACGAAAACAGTAACGACAGACAAATTTGA